GCTGGAGGTGGTGTGGTGGGAGCAGCTGCGTGGGTCAGACCTACACACAACTCCAGGACCTGGGAGAACCAGGTGGGCAGCTCCAAAATGGGACAGGGACGAGGTGCAGGGACACACCCCACTGGCAGCTCCTAACAATTAAACATCTCCCATTCCCACAGGTGGATTATAGACACTCCAGCACTCCCTGTGGGTAATGGACGCTCCTCACTCCCAGCTTCTCTGAGAAACCCCCCATGGCCAACAGCTTTCCATGGAGCCCCCTCTTCTTTGAGCTGCTCTCTTGTTTTCAAGCATTAGTAGGATGAAACAAGCTGGATCAGCACCCCTTTGGTTCACAGGGCCACTAAAACAGAGCTGGTTTTATCTGTGGAAGCTCCTCAGATCCCTGTGATGGTATCTCTCCAGAGAACCAGTTTCCTTGAGAGCCTCCTCCCATTTTAAATGCAGCTCATCTCAATGTCACCAAGAAAACTGGAGCCTCGTGATGTTCTAGCAAGACTCACCCTGACTTCACTCAAAACATTAAGGGAATAACTCCATTTGGGTAAACCCTCAGAGCAGCCATCAACAGCAACATAAAGAGAAGCGGAAAGTTGAACCAGCTCCAAATCTTCTCTTACCTTGGTCATGTCATGGGGATCAGGCACAACAAACATTCCCGGGGGTGGTTCCTTATAAATGGACATGATATCCCTGAACAAAGGAAACAGGAATTAGTCAAGATCTCCCCTGGTGTTCATCAGCCCCTCGAGGCACAGAACGTTCTAGGTGACAAATCTGATGCAAAGGGACAGACTTTTTAAGATGGAAACTTGCAACTCATAAAGAGCTCAACATTTTTCTTTTGCCTTTGACTGTTTTCTGGCTGAGCTCTTTCAACCTACCCCCCAAAAAATAGTTGAGGCATTTAGAGAGCATGAGCAGCATTCCATGAATCCATATGTGAGGCATCAGACCAAGCACACCCTGACTACCCACCGCCTTGCACATCACCACAGATCATCTCCAGTACATAAGGGAAGTTTATGGTTGAAGTTTTAAGGTAGGCATTTAAAAGTCCTCTCAGGTGAAGTTTGTTGTTTACAGGATGACTTTCCCTCCCTATGTTTTCCCTTTTCACACTCCAGACTATTTACAGGATCCCTTTCCTACACCCAGTCGTTTGTTTTCCCCAAACACACCCTGACTCAACTGCCTTTGAGAACTTTATGGCTCTGACAAATTTGGGTTTAATGAGGAGGCGGGTTCAAGAGCAGTTCGGATGCACAAACACACGTGACCCGATGCCAGTGCCCTCGTTTCCTTCAGAACGTGGACAAAAATGAACTGAAAAGTAACAACTCTGTGCAGTTTACAGATAAAACTAATGGCACCCAGTTACTTTTCATCACTAAAAAATTTCCCTCCCGTAATCAGAGCTACACCAAGCTCTGGGACAAGCTCCCACTCGAGCTTCCCATTTGGGAAGCACCCAGAAATCAGGGAGGTTTCAGGATGAGAACAAGTGTGAGAGCAAGAGGAGAGCCTCACCTTCCTGCCTAAAGTCAGTGCTTTTGGTGTTTGGATTGGAAAGTGCCCAAATAGCTGGTGCCATCTTTGGAAGACATTCTACAAGCTCTTAGAACAAGGATGAGCAAGAGCCTGGCAGGCAGTGATCCTGGCTCTAAAGGAAGAGGAAGAACTTGTTGAAACAGCGCCAGCGTATCTAACAATACAAGAGCATATTGCTGATGGTATCAAAGGTTTCACCAGATAATCCTTTAAAAAGCAGCCAAACGGGTGGGCAGCAGCAGGAAGGAGAATTGCTATGGGCAGGTCTAGGAGAAACATCTTCACCTGACCATTGGTGGTGACTGAGGAGTCTGATTTCCTCCCTGTTTAATGTCTTCTCTGAGGAGCAGCCAGTGATTCCAAGGGCAGGATTAGAGCCATGGAGCTCTGCTGCCAGCACCCCAGCAACAGCAGATGGAGAAAGAGACCCTGGATGGTGGCACAGGGGTCCACGGCTCCAGGGCCAGGTGAGGTGTGAGACCCCATCCTCACCCAAGCACCTGGGCAAGGAGAGTCCCAGGGGGCAGGTGGGGACCAGGGTCTGTCCCCAGGAAATCCCCGGGACACAGGGAAAGACCAGGACCTGTCCCCAAAGCCCGGTCT